GCCTAAGATTGTCAGATTTAGAACCGTAAGATTTTATTAAGAAAACATGTACTTCCTCTTCTCTAGTTTGATTTAGTTATTCTAGTTTGAATTTTGCATAAAGTTTGACTGTATGTAAATCAAAAAAGTGATGTGTAGTCTGTCCTCATACTGTCATTCTGTAATACTGTAATCAAGGGGCGGAATGCACATCTTATCACTACTAATGAGGGACAGGTCCTTATATTGGGAGAGTCCCCTTCAATCAATGGTATAGCTAGCCCAAATTGTTCCCAAATCCTTCTAAACATAAAATCGAAATCTCCTATTTTGGGACGGATGGAGTAATTAAATTTTTTTTCTATGGATAATTTTTATTTATTGTTTTTAATTAAATTAATTTTTTTTTCAATTATGATTTGTTTGTCGTATAAAATTATCAAATTAATTTGTGGTATAAAATTGATGAGTTAGGAGAACTAAAATGAACCAAAGGAGTAAGTGTCTGTTTGGTACAGCTATCTAAGTGCTTCAGCTTTTTGATATCATTCATATTTTATAAGTTTAAATTTCTCTTTTAAAAATTTACAGTAAAATATTAAAAATTTCAAATTCAAACTTTTCAAAAAAATTTTTTTTACTCTCTTTTTTCTATCTCTAAAAAATAATTTTTAAATTTTTTTTCAATAAAAATTTAAACTTATCACTCATAAAAAATAAAAAATAAAAAATAAATAAATAAATAAAAAACAAAAAACAAAAACTCAAACAAGCTGCATCAAATAAAATAAGCCGTAAATCATTTTCCACAGAACACAAGATGCCAAACCATAAGATTATATGGGAACACGGAAACGAAAAGATAAAAAAGGCAGGTAGGAGTCGGGATATATATATAAATATATATATATATATATTTACCTTTTTGCCATCTTCAATGAGTACAGGATGATCGCAGAGGCTGAGATAAAGGTCCTTCAAGGAAGAAGTGCATCGCGATGCGGGAACCAAATTCTGGTAGTCGGACGGTAGGAACTTAACCCAAACGGCGTCGGAACTGACGACAGAGTTGAAAAAGGGGGAAACTACTGACCATCTACAGGCATCGAGAGGACTGGTGAGGGAGATGATGGCGGCGAGGCAATCGGCGGGAAGAGCGCGGCAATCCCGC